ACAAATATTTGATCTCATCTCGTGATTCTCGGGCACTAAATATTTATTATTTAACCATTTCTCAAGTTAATAATAAATATATTCTTGTTGTATCCCAATAAGTGAGGAGCTGTATTTCTGACATTTTGTTACTTAATCTAAGCCACTTTTTCAGAGTAAATAAATAACAGGAGGAAATTAACACCAATTCAAAAAATACGAAGGAAACAATACTTCTTCCCTACTCATTGTGTTGTAACAAAAATACATTTATTATTAACTTTTCACCCAATGCTCAATTTATCTGAATCTATCAAGTCCAACCTTGGGATTGATACCTATATCCGTTTACCAGTTTGGCGCGTTACTTTGCACCAGAGGAACCACTGGCTATATAGCATAGGCTTTACCGTTTGAGCTATTCTGTACCTTTGATATTACGTGTTTTGTCTTAAATTAGAACCGTTTAAACTAAACACGGAGTTTGTGTTTTGATGTAATTTATGCGAGTTACCCAGAAGCGCTTCGTATTCTGTACAGAAATACGTAGTTTGGCCTAATCGAATAAACTTTGGCCCATTAGTTTTTAGTTCAGACGCAATATTGGTATTTCGATCACTACATCCAGTATAAGCCACCTAACCAAATTTGTAGTGACCCTTATATTATCGAATCATAAACATAATGACAGTGGTCTAAGTATAACTTATACACTTAAGGAGGAATAACATTTTATTATCGTTGCCATTTATGGTGTCAAAAATGATGACTAAAAGTTCACCTTCAGAATGAAAACTGTCTAATATATTGTTGACACGGACCACAATTTACAGCTTAATACGGGTATCTGTTATGTACACATAATAAATGCCGTCTAAGCTGCTTATCGTATCTCGTTTCCGTGGTTGCAGTTTCGTCAAGCTTTATTAATTTTAAGCTAATGCTATCTATTTAGATTATGGTATACTATCAACTTTCATATAGATGAAAACAGAACTCTTGTAGATGTGACCCTCTGTCCGGACTTGTTATTTAACAATCGTAAACATACGCATGTTTCAAGTGGAGACATCAAAATACGTCATCTGTGAATCTTTGGAAAGTTTGGGCAGCATTTCTTAGACCGAAAGGCATGTGCGAAAATCCGTAAAGTCCAAAGGGAGTTATAATGGTGGTTTTGGGAATATCATCAGTGGCCATGAAAATTTGGTTATAAGCTTTAACAAAGTCGATTTTCGGAAAGACAGTTGTACCTTTCAAGATAGCTGTCAAGTCGTGAATGTGAGGCGACGGGTAACGATCGGGAATGGTTCTTGCATTCAGTAGCCTATAGCCACCAGTTGGACGCCAATCGTTGCTAACCTTTTTAAGGACCATGTGCAACAAAGATACCCATGGGCTGTTTGACCATCGAATGATTCCCAACTGTGTCATGTGGTGGAATTCGTTTTTGGCCAACCTCGACTTTTCGGGAGGCAGTCGATGCGTTTTCGAGAATCCAGGAAATAGTGTAGTCATGATGTGATGTGTAACAAGCTGGTTACACACGGTAATTTTGGCTTTGGTTGGTATATCTGAGAATGCTTATCGAGTAATGTTCAATAGAATGGGTCTATCGTGTGCCCAAGTGTGACAGGAGATAATCTGCAACCAGAAAAAGAAGTTACGCAAATCGATAAATTAGTGTTTCCGTCTACTAGCCTCTGTTTGCGCGTATCGATTATTAGGTTGTGGTGGTGTGGGAGGTCTGTGCTAATGATTGGCGTAGGAGCATCTGCAATAGCAAAGATCCAGTAAATGGGTTTGCGTAAACCCACGTTAAGGTAAACGTACCTTTTACCATATGTAGATATAGGCTCTCCGTTTGCCGCCTGTAGGCTTAAAACCGATTCTTGAAGCCGATCGTTAGAATTCGCTTGAAGAACGCTAACTTCTGAGTCAGTATTGACAAGGTAAAGAACGATCTTTACCACATCTGTGACGTATAACAAACGGCTATGTTCGTCGGCTACGGTTGCCATTAACAGGTGCCGGCTGGGAGGCTTCTAGAGTTATTTTTCGTGTCGGTTGATTCCGAGTTTGGAAAATTGCAGGGTTTTCTGCAATTTCTAGATTTTCCGTACTGGTTATGATACGAGCACCAGTCGGAGTTATCCATCTCTCGTGGTCTAGAAACAGGTCGCTTACGTGAAGTGCTTCTTCGCGGTATATGTGACCGCCGGCTCGCCTACGGCGTTGTTTTGAAATGAGATCAGCGCAGCTTGCACCTGTTAAGGAAGCTTGGATAAGAAACATTGTTTGAATAGGCCATCATCGAAATTTCTTTCGCCGTTAAGCTCTCTCAATCTTAGCAACATGTCTGTCGTAGAATCGTGTTGCAGGTCGATGTTATTAAGAAGTTGGTCTAACTTTGTCAGTCGGTTAGGTCTCCGCGTTTAAGAATAGATCGTTTAAGTGTTTCGTAGGGTTTTGAAATATCACTAATAAACATACTAGGTGTTACATATCTGTTGAATTCGCGAGGTAGTGCCTTGACTACTGCGAGGAATTGTGCACGTGGAAGTTGGCTTCTGCGTGGCAGAACCAGGCTTTGATGTTGTTTGACCAGAAGGGCATTAGTTGAAATGAAGGTGGGGTCATTGTCGTTAACTTAAATACTTTGGGTATCTGTTCAGTCATGGTGAAATATCAGGTACGAGAACGATATATGTATATATATATACAGAAACACGAAAACATATCACACCATATAAAAATTAAAATAAAGCATTTATAAACAGAACTCCAAAAAGGAATAGACTCACAGTTTGAAGTTTGGTGTACCAGACCACGTTGGGCTTAACAGTGAAGATCCCAAAAGTATTTGGAATTTGACAACGCTTTGACCAGTAACACCATCTAATATGAATCGTACTCAAGAAGTGAGGAGGTTCGAAGATATATTTGATAGGCTATCAATATATCGAGGATCGACTGATCTAATCTGGTTAGTGATTGCAGGGGATATTGAGCACGGTGTTCCCACTCGTGATCTGGTGCGGATGCATGACCGAGCGCCTTCAACTAGGTGGGTTCATTAAAACTAATTTGGTCAATCAATTCTCAAACCACTTAACATTCTGCAGCTCATTCTACTACGACACCTGCCTTTCCGAACCCCTTTTATAAATAATGTAAATCCTTTCATTCAACTAATTGAGTTTTCATTGCCTACTCGTAATCACCAAAGGTAGGCAGATAAAAGCCAACTGATAACCCAACATCAAAATCAAATTATTGTAATGACAGCTTACAAATACTTCGTTGTATAAAGAACGTAAACATTTTATTCCCTATTTTCCTCGATTCAATGATGAAATATTCGCGTTTTTATCTTCGACTGAAAAACTCTCCGTGTGGTCCTCGTGTTCGTTATAAACGTTACAACTAGATGACTAAAACGTTTTCGTAACTTCGAGATATGGAAAGCATATAGTGATGAACGTCTAACATAATGTACGAACCACCAAAAGCCTTGTTCTTAAGAACACCACGAGTCTGGGCAAACACAGATTGTACTTAAATATAAGTAGAAAAGTCCTTTCAGTGACCATTTAAGTGTCAATCTCAAATCAGATCAAAACATTTCAGTCCTGAAAAACGATTCCATTTCTCAAAATCGATAGCTCGATAAAAAAAACAAACAGGATTTTCTTCCGGAAAGTCAAATCATTTCTTCGTGGCTGTCTAATTCGATATAGTATGATGTACCTGTTCTTTGCCGTTTGACTTCTTAACTACGTTTTGAACTTGAACTGAGGCGTCCTTTAATGTTGAACTGATTCCTTAAACTCATGTTCTGTAATGTCTGACACCATTTGTCGACGCAGACTCTCCTGATTCACCTAACATAAGGCAGTGTTAAATTAAATCAATCAGTGAGTTGTTTCGGTGCAACCAGCGAAACTGAGGAAGTTATCGTATTAACATAAAAGTTGACAATTTAAGACAAAGAACTACTTTACTGACTTTTCAGTCAAGAACTTTTTAACAAAATGTGTACATCCATCAATAAGATAATTGAGAGTTTATGGTTTCATATTACAAAATTTTCACAAATTGACAAAACTACGCTCTTCTTTTTTTGCTCTCCGTCACTAAGGGCCATTTTCTATCATCAAGAAATGCGTCTAAACAAAGTAGTGGGCCTACAACAATGCTAGAAACGTTCTTTGATTAGCAGCTGTCAACCTTAGCAAACGATTGAAAGGATACAATATTTGAAAGTATTTGAATTATCGTATGAACTAGGAATCTCAGAATTAACGCAATCGAATCAAGAAGTACTAGATGAGTACAAACGAATGTATTGCATTTAGAATTCTAAATCAAGCATTCAAAAAATAAAAAAGAATCAATAGTTAATTCAAACATCACAGAGAAATAAAATTAAAACCATGGGAAAATATAAAACACAGTCGTTTTGATTTTAGTGAACAGTCTACTTGACACAGTTCGTAGATGCATTGTCGTAATGTTGAGGACAATACGGGTAAATGAGACTAATCACACTCGATTTCAAGACGTTTCTCCACAATGGTGAAACATAAAGGAAATTCCTCACTTTCGAGTGACAGGAGACTTTAGCAACAAAAATGATCTATGTTTTTATTCACACCCATGTTTCCAAGTAAATTTCACCAAAATTGCCGCAAAATTCTCAAGTTTTCCCCATTTTTGTAACTTGTCAGCGAGATACCGGAACTGCATTTATGAGCAAACAGTAGCAATGTCTTCGCTGAGGCGCCTGCTAAACAACAGTATGTGTTACTTCAGAATTTAGTAATGATAATTTCTAACAAATTTCTAGTCATCGCAACATCACGCGTTAATCAAGTTCACACATATCACGCCTGAGAAGCATAAGATGGAAACAAACAAATAATAAAATCATAATAAATCTTTTTTTTTGCGGGACCAGTAGACAAGAACAGTTCATTTTATGTTTCGTCAATTCATTGATTGAAATGTGAATAACCTTCATGATAACCAACCTTGGGGTGGCGGGCTTCTCAAGGCTTTTGCACGGTCAGTAAAATGCCCCTGGAACGCCTAGAAGATGAGGGCCTTGAAAAGATCCCTAACCTTAAGCTAGCGCAATGGGTTTTTCATGCTGGCTTAGAGAAAGCACCTGAACCTTTGCGTAAGCAGCTTCTGGAGAAAATTACCAAATGTATCCAAAATGACAGTAAGTTTCTTTTGGTATATTTTTTACAAGTTCCTTCAAACCCACTACACCAACAACTTGTGCTTGGCATTGGTTGCGTTACTTATATGCCAAATTGACTCCCAATCCCAAAACTTCCAGCAAGTAGTTGATTTACGCATAGATTACTGTCAAAATTGGAAGCAGTCTTCAGACCAACGACATTCCAATTTTAGCACAAATAGAATAGTCAGTATAAGTCGATTCATTTTAGAAACCGTCACATTATCACATAAGTGTTGCCAAGCGTTTTTATATACTTATTACTACGATTGTCTAGACTATTTCTGTTCATCTTGGTAATATAACCCCGTCGTACTGATTTTGTATTGCGAATTAAGCTTATGCACTTTTTTCTACCAGATCTTATACTGACGGACTAGTAAGACAGAAATTTGATCTCAACTCGCCGGTCCTAACAGTTATCTAGGGCTTACAGAAGCTAATTATATTATAAACTGGCAAGTTGACAACCGTCTTCTCACTTTTATGGCACACAGATAGTCTCTCCTTCCTATTTCACACGTTCCGTTAGTCATATAAATTTCGTTATAGAAGTGTGTTAACGTCTTACTTCATTTTTCGTTCCTTACGGTCGTCTTATTTTTGGTTACAGTATCTGTCCACTTAGTTGAAAATATCTTACACTTCGATGAAGTTAGTAGATTTCACAGTATGCACCAAGTCTGTATACTTACGAAAACTAAGTTGCAAGGTATATTGTTTAGTCGTTGATCATTGGTTTATTATATCCAAAAATAATTCATATTCAGTTCATGGAGAAAAACCTTGGTGTTGTTTACGAAAATGAGAGGACGAAAAGCGAATGTCCGGCGCTTTAACCGGATTCCAAACCAATGGTGCACATGGGCTCCAGTATCCTGCGGGAACAAATGGCGAATGAACCAGTTGTTGGTCACCGGCTTCCACGGGACTGCATCTCCTTACGATGCTCCACTGCCTTGTGGATCAGACCTTCAGATCGTAGGCTCGGGGTGTGGCCCCCTAAGAAAACCACCTGCTTCGGTTTGGGCACCCGGGCAGTATCACAGCCCTCACACATATCGAATGAGATTTGTGTGGCGCATATGTGTTTGTGCCTCTTTGTACCATTATCTATGTGTTGAAATAAATAAATAAATAAAAACATATCATTGCTTTCCCGTGTCTGTGGTTCATGACTAAATTTCTGAACTTATGCGTTCAATTGAGGGATTCTATTGGTGGAACTAATGGACATAAGAACCCGAAGTTCAATAATGTTTTCCAGGAATAGTTGTTGTACTTTACTTAACTGAGCACCAGTCAGTCACTTCACACCTTAGTTAATAAGTTTTTCTTTCTCTAACGTTCAATCTCTGAGATTGTTATGTTTTATTTTCAGATATGGCTCCATATTACGAACTTGTGTGTAAAGAGCTTAATCTACCAATTGACCAACGAATCTTGAAATCTATGCAGTCAGTAAATGAAGCAAAAATTAAGGAGTTAGATGCAAAGATTAAAGATGCGGAAGAGAATCTGGGTGATACCGAAATCAGAACCGCCATGATTGAAAAAGCTCACTATCTTAGTAAGATTGGTGACAAGGTAATGAGTAACTTCAGTAAATTGATGTAACTTGTGTCATCCAGGAAGGTTCTCTGTCCCAATTTAGACTGATTTTGGATAAAAGCTTAATGCCGGGCTTTCGATTAGACACAATTTTCCATATCATACGAATTGGATTCTTTTTTGGAGATAGAGATTTGGTTACAAAGAATATAGAAAAGGCAAACAGGTATGACTTTTTTCTCACAATATTTAGAATGTTAATGATAGCCTAATTGAAGAAGGTGGAGATTGGGATAGACGAAATCGACTTAAAGTTTACCGTGGTTTATATAGTATGTCGGTTCGAGATTTCGACGCTGCTGCTAAGAACTTCCTTGATGCTGTCGCCACATTTACCAGTTATGAGTTAATGGATTATAAAACATTTATCATATATACAGTTATGTCTGCAATGATTGCACTTAAACGCCCGGATCTTCGAGAAAAGGTAAATGTATCTTACACTTGTCCTCTTTCCCCTACCTCCACTTTATAAATGTTTAATGACGGTTTTTACAAATGGGCTTTTTTCTATCTCTGTTGGCTATTTTGTGTACTATAAAAATTAGTATATTATAAAAAGTTTGTACTTTTAGAGTATAAGGTGAATTTATGTGTGCTATCATGTAGAGGTTAGAATCCGTTACAATCGGTAATGAGATCCTAATAGTTCTTAACATCATAATACTGAGCTTCATGATATTTTGACATACATGATATTCGTCAGTGTAACTCCATTCCATTACAGAGTTTTATGTGGTAACTATTGTACAGCCGAATACCGTAGTAAAATTATTTACACTGTAGCTGACTACAACTTACCTTATAGGCGACGTCGATGTAAAACATTATGGCGGTTTAAATTAATGTGATTTTCAGTCATAATTTTCCCTACTTATTGGTTACCGTCATATCTTGTTCACAGCTATCTTTAACTGACAAATGGTTAGCTTTTCATGACAAGCTAACATACACCATAGTTACAAACCTTATCACTGAGCTTTTCTGACTATTACTGACCTGTAGGACAGATATTTAGATTCATTGATTACTGATTGGTAACCAGTGTTATATTTGTCTAGTCTCTTAGTGGTATTCTAATTCTATCGATGAAATCACAGCATCCACACTAATATGAGTGGTTCAGTATCGCGTGAGCGAAACTAAGGCCTAGGATTTCCTGTTGACTCCTAACTGTCTATTGACCATATCATGTTGAGTCACTTGGACTAGTAGTCAGATCGTAAGTTCATCGATAGAATTCGATCAGCACTGATGAATAAGCTAATGCGACATTGGTTTCCGCTCAGTGTTCAATAAGGTAATCCATGCCTACAGTTATATTTATAGTTTACTATATATATTTGCTTTCAGGTTGTTCGTGGATCGGAAATTCAAGAAGTTCTGCATGGATTACCTACTGTACGTGAATATCTCATGTCCTTATTCGATTGTCGTTATGCTGACTTCTTCATTTCACTTGGTTAGTTAGTCGATGTTATTTACCGTACTTTTTAAATTTCCAGCGAATAAAACAACAACCTGAGTATTCTGCAGTAAATTTCCAAAGTTGATTAATTTATTTTTGATAATGTTTTAGCGGGCGATCAGTTCAGTATGTCAATAAAGTTTTTAAGTATGTCTCTAACCGTTATCATGAAAAAAGCTTATGGATTTATTTTAAGTCTAACTTGTTAGCTTGTGTTGCCTTTTAATGTTAATTAATTATCATTACACCTTGGGATCTTGTCAACATTTTACATCTAAAACTGTAACCGAAATCAGAGTTCAGTTACAATGGAACTTCGGAAACAGCTTTGATAGAAGTGCATGCCTGGTGATCTATCAGGAGTAGTTGAGAAGTTAATCCAACTCAGTAGTGCTCCTCGTGGTATGAATTATTAGACCAATCTACGTATAGTGAAGGCCATAATAGTTTACACCAATCTGGATCATCTTTAGCGCTGTTGTGATGCTAGTCTGGCTGTAAAAGGTGAGGTTTACAACACGTTGGGGACAACATTTGTGATCTATGTCCTCTGTGTTCGGTTATTGTTGTTTCCGAGGAATTGCTGACATCTAGTAGTAACACCATTTTAGTCATGTTGAGGTTCGCTAATTTGTGTTCGGGTGCAGTGACGGTTATTTAGTCAGTCTTGAAAAGACGATATCTGCAAGCCGAACATGTGTTACGAATTTCATCCCAGTGACTTCAACATCGTGCATTATTTGGCGACTCTAGTGCTGAGTGGAAAAACCTGAGAAGTGGTTATAAGCAGAGTTGGTCAGAGAATGGATAATTGGAGTCCTAAACATCAATGGGAAGACTCAAACAGCCAAAACAAAAGTGAGAGGTTGTTAGTTTATGATATAGTGACCTGCTATGAAAGTAAGCTGTATAAAACTGACAACTATCTGTCCATCACGACTCTGTAGCTGGAGTGCTAAAGTTGATGCAACACAGTGGTTTAAAACTTTATCAGACAACACACAGTAGAAGCCAGTGGTGGCCCTGTTGTAATTTTTCTCTACGTCATAAAAGTGAGAAAAACTTCTTTAGCTAAAAGTATCCTCTCTACTTTCCGTTTTACATTGAACTGTCCTATTATATACCCATCCATTTATTTTCTGTTCATCTGTCTTGATTATATTCACCACTCCAATTATCTCTATTCATTCACAATCTTATTTTGTTATTTGTGTGAAGCATATGTATTTTGGTTCCAATCTGTTCAAGTATTTATTTGTTTTGAATGAATAAAAAATTACAGCTTTATCAAGCATACAGGTTTATTTAATTTAATTGTAAGGCAGTCCGCAATGTTATACTACCCAATTATCCAAACCTAATAAAAGTCGACAACTATAAAGCTCCAAATATAATCACTTCTAAAAAAAATCAGTCCGTGTCTATACAGTCTAATCCGGCTCACTATCAGTAGATCGTAGATTCAAACCACAGTTCATTTATTTTAGTTTGAGAAAACGTATAATATGTATTGTGACATGTGTCCGATTTTAATACTGATACCCAATCGGCTACATAAATGAGAAAGCTTTTATTGACTAACTTAAGGGACATTTATGTCTATCCCTTTTATATACGTATATGTATATATGTCCTTTAGAAAATCAAGGCATCAGTGATGTATGTCTCATTGCTTAGAAACTCAAGCCATTTCTCGGACAATCACGAGTACTTTCGGATTGGCTTAATCTATCAGTATCTAAATAGCCTTTATACAAGCTTGGTTCATGGTCAATCTGTTCCACTAGCTGTACAATCATCACTAATCTACTCACCTATTAATTATGACTTTCTTATTGTTCATTTATCCTTCAATGTATTTTCCCCTACCTTATTCCCTTTTCTTTTTTAGCTGGAGTTGAACAGTTCATGAGTTGTGATCGTTACTTACATTTACATACATGTTACTATGTTCGTGAAATGCGTATTCATGCATTAAGTCAACATTTGGATTCATACAGTAGTTTAAGTTTAGATAGTATGGCCGCATCGTTTGGTGTAACTCCAGCATTTTTGGATGCTGAATTATCACGTTTCATAGCCAATGGTCGATTAGCTTGTAAAATGGATAAGGTCTCAGGTATTATTGAAACAACACGTCCAGATAACCTGAATTTTCAATATCAGGTAAATTCATTTCAGTGTGCAATTTTTTTAATCTTTTGTTGACTATAAAGTTTATTATGATTTTGTTATATCGTCTCAATTGGTTGACGAATTTAGTGAAACATCCGTTAGTTTGCATAGCTGTGTCTTTGTGACTCGTTGATCTGACTCCGATTTAGACGAATTAATGTGCTATCAACGTAAATCTTCCGTTTAATTCCGTTTATTATGCCTAGGCTAAACCCGTTTGTGCGACATCAGTAGTGAGAAGCCGAATGCGTATTGAGTTGGACGAGTTTATTTCAGGTATTCGTTTACTCAGACAGACATTAAAACGAGCAGTGAGAAAACGAAGCGAAATGGAAAAGGCAGATGTGCCAAATCCATCTGATGAGTTGTGATCCAGTACTTATAACCAGACAAAAATAAAGACATGTAATGAATGGGTAAGCGATACACGCGTACGTTTATTCAAAAATAGTCAAGGTATAGGCCGACGATTGACAAAATCAGAATACGTGTGTGGATAATGACTTAAAAGGGTAAATTAATTGGTCTGTCTGAAATCTAGAATAATTCATGTAGGTATGACTTAGTACTGGACACTACACTTGGTCAATCAGGGCTGACCTAAACCGTGATTTTTCTCGCGTTCATTGCAAAGGATAAATTCACTGAGCTTTTATAGGTAAAATTTACTTCATTTTCATCGAAAACTCTAGGCAGTTGTAGGAGCTGGTTTTTCGGCCCTTGTCTGCAAACTGTCAGTAACGTGTAACCGTAACCTCATATGATCCATAATCGTGTCATATCCCATATATATATACATCTGTTTTCAACCCAGTGGTTGAGTTATTTCAATTGCAGACCAAGCCAAGCTTGAATCACACCAGCCATTTCCTGTTTTTAAACGGTCTTAGAGACAAAAATACTTGTTGGGTGTGTTAATAATTCCACCTAACATAAGAATGTAATACTCATGATTTCGAATTATTTAAAAACCGTGGCCACATTGCTACTTCATCGATAGAATTGACTTGTCACTGAAGACTAGACGAACTAGATTAATCGGAACGATATGTTCCTCTGACAAGATTTAATTGTAATTTTAAGTGTCGATGTTTTCATTCCATCTACTTTGATTTAGGTATTATGGGTTAGTAGTGCCACTAGTCTTCATATAAGGTGTGACTAAGAACTTAGTACATAAACCTGCAAATAAATTCATTTATTCTTATTTTCGTTGTAATAGTATAACCGGACCCGGACAGCTCAAAAGCCACGCATATGACGCTTCTTTCGTTAATCGTAACAGGCCACTGAATTTTTAAACAATAGCAATAATTAAAATTACGTACATATTTTGCAGTCATCATTCTTTTAATCATATTTCCCGGATGATAAACTAAAAAACGTGTAACATTATACTATTTTCATCATAAGAATAGATCAATAAATAATGGTGTCAGCCATCATTGTCAACCAAACACCTACCTACCTACATGATCCAAACCCATTATCAAATGAATTGACAGTATAAGGGTTTGTGGAGATTATTGAATGTTATGATGATCGCTTATTGATCTGATTTAGACAGCCATTGAAAACCTGGAAGCATTGGATAGCTGTTACTTTCCTAGTACTGGACTTCTCGGTAGTTAGCATCCACGACCCTACCACGGTTGATCGAACTCAGGACCTTCACCCTTGCACGAGCGCCAAATATCTAGTCCACTGAACTGAAATCCAATGGTAATTATGAATCCATTGTTCAATGTTACATCTTATAATCTGACTACTTCAAACCTTTCAATATATACTCCCATCTTAACTGATAATGAAAATTCGGCGACTACATAACATTACAGACTGTCAACATCACACGTTGTATATGTAAAAATATTTGTCGTTATCTTTAGTCCCTTCATTAATTCCATTCTCTTTTCTACTTTTTAGACTATGATTAAACAAGGTGATGTTCTACTGAATCGAATTCAAAAACTGAGTCAGGTTATCAATATATAGTGGAATACTAGTATACATAAATATTACCCATTGTTATCTAATGTACGATAGTAATACAGTGATGGAGTTTTGTATACAATAACTGTACTTTTCAAAATACTGTTTCCTTTTCTACTCTGCCTTTTTGTGTGTGTATGTGCACACATGTACGGGAGAAATCGTTTTCATAAAACTTAATTTTAGTGTTATACTTCCTAGCCGACTTTTCACGCCGGTGGATACTGTCATAATGGTTAGTATAAAGTCTACATATTATGCTTTCATTGTTGTGTTTTAAGAAGTCTGATTTATCATAACTTGCTATTTGAATCGATATTTCGTGCTATATCGCTAGTAAAACCAGTGACCTATTCTAACTAACAGCTGAGATCTTGATGCTTATTGGTTCTCAAGCCTCTTATAACCAAGTAGCTGAGTAGAAGACACAAATAGGAAGCAGACTAGTTCTCTATTTTACCCAATTTAATCATGATTTAAAACTTATACAATAAGTGGTAGAAGACGGAGCTAAGAATACATAATTACTTAGCAATAACTAATGGTTAGCAAAGCATATAGCAGCAGTTAATAGGTTCACTGAAAGCATATAATAAGGAGAGTATAGAAACCCAACAATACAGTTACCTACTCATTATATACTATATATATATATATATATATATATATATATATATATATATATATATATATATATATATATATATATATATATATATATATATATATATATGTTATTCAAAACCAAGACTTCAATATCAATCTTGAAGCGGTCAATTCGACTCAGTGAAAATAAACTGTACCAATGTTATTGAAATCAATATAGATGACTAATCAGAACTAAGATACAGGTTGCTGATTTAAATTGTGATCTTTAAAACCCAATTACTAATAGTCTGTTATCGGAATCCATATTTTTGACTAGATTTTTGCTCATTCAAAAGAAAATGATCACTTAAGGAACCTTAGGTTATGGAGAAATGGCGTCTTATGTAACTGTTGGCAATAAATGACATACAGAAAATGTACGTTGTTCAAAGACGATGTTATTTTACTTTGCACTAGACTTTGTCCAAAGAAGTCTACTAAAAGTGGGTTTCTTTCCTAAATCAAAGCTATAAGTCGTTTGCACAATCTGTATTCCGATCGTTGTTTAGTGATGGCGTTAAACTATGGACGGCTGTTATGATTCCCTACTACCCATTTCTTAGAAATTGTGGGGTGTGAAAGAAAAGTTTAGTGATTGGTGTATTTGTTTTGCAAGTGTGTACTCAAGTGATAATGAACAAACATTTTGTTACCTTTAATAATTTTGTAATTGGTCGTAAACTGTTCATCTCTGTAATCTGATTAGTTGAAATTGAAATCGCATCTAGAGCTGTGATTGGATGTCAGAATTTTCATTTTTTACATTAGAAATTTAATGATAATGAATAATTCTTTTTGTGTAATCTTAGTCTTGAAAAAAATTTAGACTTTTGAAGAAGAAGACACCAACTTAATTGCATTACCGTGCAATCCTACTGTTAGTGAATGTGTATTGGGATAAATTTTTGTTTTCCGATCAAGCAGACCATGAATTGAAGTCGTTAGTTATCTTAACACGATTAAGTAAATGTATCACATTCGAAGAAATTTTTTTGGAAAAAAGCAGCTGAAAACCGATTTGAATATTTGATAATAGTGATTACTGAATTAGGTCGGTAGTCAAATGTTTAATACCAAATTAATAAACAAACTATCACCAAAGTGTGTGCATAGGTTTTTTTGTAACACATGGTCTGTTAATGGGAAAAAGAAATCAACATATCAATAATTCATCATGATAAATTACTGATTGCAATATGTATAATTCAAGTGAAGCGACGGTAAACCATCGGCTAATGAAGCGACTTTGACAGTAAATGAAAGTAGTAATAAATTTTCCGAAATAGACACTTAATATTTAGTAAACGATTATTTTGTAAATGGTCATTCATAATGAGAATTAGACAACGTTAGATTTAAGTGTGGTTAATTTGGAAATCCACTGAAACACGGTTTATTGTTTTCACTTGTAAATTATTTGTAGTTCGGCATTTTAAAATTAATTTTCTTTGGTCGTAATCAAAACTAGTGTGTGTTTAATCAGTCATGTGTGAAGATTGTTAACCGCCGTAATATGAAACTTGAACTATATCTAGACATTATGAATGTAACCATTTTTGACAAGCATTTGAAATATCCGTTTCATAAAGTGTAAATGAACAAGCCTACGTCGTCTGACTGACTCAAATATCTATCGACATTAAACGTCTAAATATGAATAAGGTCAACTGTATCAATGAACATTTAAAATGTTATTATTATTTATTGTTCTTACGATCATTATTATTATGTCAATTGACAAGATTCAATTCCCATACTATGTAATATTTCATTGACACAAAATTTTTTGCATTTTAAATTCCCCTATAATGCTCTTCCACTTATTGTGACTGAACACTTTACTGCAAATAATCCAGACCATTATTGAATGACCTTTCTAATTTGCAAATATTACAATTTGTAAGTATATAGATATATAAATATATATATCGTCACAGATGTAAACGTTCACCATTGTTAACACATTACATTGTCAAATTCATTAATGCCATGCCTTATTTTTGGCCTTTATAAAATATTAAAATTATGGACCTGTAACTGTATAGTGTGATTGTACCAGTAATTAATAGTTATATGGGTGTGCAAATGAATACGGTGATATAATCAGTAGTTATGAATAACAATGAAGGCTTAGTTGACGATCGGACGTAATTCATACGTATGTATAGTTCTGGTTTCAGGTACTTTTAATATAAAACAAGATTATGAAATTCTTGTTTTTTGTATTCATGAAACGAATAATATTCTTATTTCTTTTTGCACTTACTATATGACCTCAGTCAGCTACAACGTAGGACCAGGCACATATGTGCATCGGTCCAGGTTACCATACCGCATCAGCACAACAAGATGAACACCGGATTCATAACAGTGGTTAGGTAAAAGGTGGTAATATACAAGAGAAAGATTGCATATAGAGATATAGTACAAGAAGAAAGAATTGGTTCGTAGAACGAAAGATATGAAGCGATTTTAATCTCTTAGTTTAGGGGAAGACAGGGAGTGTATACACCGACGCCATTGTGATCGATTCTGAGCCATGTCACCAAGAGTCTTCAACCATTGGTTACGATAGTCACGCGGACCCCAACCAAGTAGTCTGCATCTACCAACATGGCTCAGACTAGAAGTTAGTGACTTCAAGCACTGATGCCACGTTTTGGTTTGGCCGCCCCTAACTTCCAACCATTTCCAATACCGGATAGCATTGCACGTCGTGGTAATCGGTGTTCAGGCATACGTAACACGTGGCCCAACCATCTCAGTCGATGAAGATTCATAACCTCATCAACTGATTTACCATCATTTCCTAATACCCTGCGTCTAACCTCACTATTACTTACCCGGTGATCCCAACAGACGCCAGCAATATTTCTTAGGCATCTGTGGTCAAATACTAGTAACTTACGAGTGTCTTCTACTCTTAATGGCCATGTTTCGCTGCCGTAAATTAAAACAGAACGGACTGCCGCGCAGTATACTCGTCCTTTTATTGATAGACAGATATCTCGCCTTAGCCACAGGTGACGTAAGTTGGCAAAAGCCGAACGAGCTTTTCGAATCCGTGCTGAGATTTCGTCCGATACCAGCCCATTAGGGCTGATCAGACTTACAAGATAAGTGAAGTTGTCAACGCGTTCGACTTCTTCACTCCCTATCCTTAGTTCAGGTGTTGACACGCCAGTCCTGAAGCAACAACTTGCATTTCGAGGGAGAGAAGCGCATTCCAAACATCCTGGCATTGTTGCTCAGTGCTACCAGAAGACTCTGCATTTTGTCAGCGTCTTCACCAAACAAGACTATGTCATCTGCGTATTCTAAGTCGATAAGTGGACCTCCTGGATGGAGATCAATACTCGAGAACTCAGTCGACGAGAAAGTTATTTCCATCAGTAGGTCTATGATGAAGTTAAACAAAAATGGGGAAAGTGGACAGCCTTGACGGACACCACTTGAGGTTGCAAAAGTAGATGACAGTTCGCCATAAGCTCTCACTCGACTAGTAGTGTTCGAGTAAAGAGCCTTTACAAGGTTTATGTACTTCTGGGGTACGCCTTTCAATGACAGATACTGCCACAGAATCTCACGGTCTATGGAGTCAAATGCTGCTTTTAATTCAAGAAAGACCACCATCGTCGGACGCCGATAAGTATGCCTGTGTTCTAGAACATGACGAATGGTGAATATGTGGTCGATGCAGCCACGACCAGGTCTGAAGCCAGCTTGATTTTCTCGTGTTTGCAGTTCACGAGTTTAAGGCGTCTGATTATTATTGAGGCTAGTATTTTAGATATTATATTAGTTAAACTAATCCCTCTGTGGTTGTCACAGGATGATTTTGACCCTTTCTTATATCATTTCAACGATGATGGTTTCAACTTGTTTTATAATGTCATTATTTTAATCATAAATAAGTTAATTTTCTTCATTGTGTTAGCTTTAATCACATTCATCTTTGTAATTATCTTATTATATTCACTAATAAATGTAATCCAAGATTCATTGACCTAACGACAAAATTACAATTTTCACTATAATGAAATATCCCTATGAAAATGTACTATTATTAGATAGTTTATAAATGTGTTACTACAACATGAACAGTAATCACATTATTTTAAATATAAAATTACTAGATTAGTCTTCATTAGATGACAAAATGTTGTCTAAGTTTTCTTAATGGCGCCGCAGATAGGACAGTGCACTGCTCGTACGTTCGGCGATGGGTCGTAGGCACAGAAGGTATGAAACATTGCTTCACATCTACAGAAAACCCAACCAACCGCATCACCGGTTTCACACGGAGGCTGCGCAAGATTACAGATGTCGCATAGTCGATTCTCGTCATCCTCTTCTTCATTTTCGATGTCCCGTTCAGTTAACTCTTCGGAGTTAATAGAAATTACTTCCTCCTCATCGTTACTGAGCGTTTCATCCAAATCAACAGTTCCTCGTTGTATAAACGGCACTGCTACGTTAGTCGAGGTTCTTGGAAGGGTGTACGAATGCTGTTCTCCATGCAAGTTTACTGGCGTTGTTGGTAGTCTACCGTGAACTATGAAGCCATGGAGTGAACTGCATTGTTCCTCCGACATTCGCCTGACTAACGCTATCATTGCTTTCTTCATGCTTGGCTGACTCAATTGCATTGGGAAATAATTTTCAACTGCAATATGAGTCAGATAACCATCATAGTGTAACCACCTGTCTCAAATTGACTGTATGTGCAGTAAGCCAATATGTGACGGCATGGTAATCCGTTTTCAATCAAGAATGGACACGAGCACCGGCTAATATCGACGTGTACGTA